CACTTTAAAAAAATCTGACTATTCCAAGTGCACTTGCATTCATTACTCATTCTTAGGAGGTTTTTTATATTCATTGATGAGATCAGGCGTGGGTTCTGGCAGAATCCTCTTTCAGAGCTTTGCAGCTTTGGTATTTGCTCTGTAGGAGAATAAGAAAAATATGCTAAAAGTGTAATCTAACCACCATCAAAATTGTGAATAGGATTCTTTTCTTGAAGACTGGTTTGGGTTTTTGCTCTTTTTATGCATACATGCAAAATGAGATTTGTGCACAGTGTTTTGCATGTTCACGATTCAACTATGAAGGTACAAGTTTCTGCAAGTAGTATGTCTGTTGTTTCATCAAATACATGACCTGAGTCAATGAAGTCTTACTGGTTTGGCACCATTTTCACGGAAGCCTTCAGAGAAGGATCAGTGGTGGTGTTCGATTCTGATGTCTTAACTGAACTGAGCTGTAGCATTTTGATGAAAACTGTGGTGTAGGTGTCACATCAACCTACAGATTAACTAGTTTTATTCATTTGTCATTTCAAACATTGCCTTAGCATTAGAATTCTACATTTTAGTCTTCTGAAGTTTTCCTGCTTTTTGCGTAGCACATATCTCCAAGATACCTGGATTTACTCACTCAAATTATTAATCCATAGCAAGGCTGTAGTAACTTCCATAATTATTAGTAAAGAACTTTTATGTCATTAAATATTCATCAGCTTGTTGTAAGCTGAGTATTATCTGTGGATTTGGGGAAAAAAAGAGCAATTGACGTCTGCCTCGACTGGCTATGCACTTCAGCTTTCCACTTTCTGATGTTTTGTTACTTCCAGGTCACTTTGCTGTTATCTATTTCCCTTTCCTTTTGAGCTGACACATGACACTGGTTATCTTTGTTCTTGCAGCTGTTTAATTTTTAACTCTTTATTTCATATAAGTATTGAATCTGGATAGGTTCTTAATGCTAGCTTTCACTAGATTATGGAGTTGGGGATTCTGTTCTGCTTTATAAACCCACTGAAAGAACACTCTGTTTCATTCACATTTATCTTTGAACTTACCTTTTCAGGTCAGTTCTGCTCATTAGTTTTACCTTTGGAAACTTAGGTGAAAGGATGCAGTAGGTTTACATATATCCTCTTATCTGACCAATGTACACCCATTCTGAATGTGAGACAAACATTGCTGGTGGTCACTAAAGAGCCATAAATTTTACTTCATGAATTAGTTAATTTAGATTTGTCTGCAGAAGGTGTTTCTTCCAGCTTGCTTAGAAGAGAGTATTTTTGAAAGACAGAGGGGGAGAACTTTTAACCATAAGCTTTATGGTTACTTTTTTCCTAATGATAACATTACAATTAAAATAATCTCAAATTGCAGGTATAGAGTGGCTGGAGTATTGCTCAGGCATACTCTGAAAAAACAAGTACATCTGTGTTGACACAGGAAGTAGCAATTAAATGAAGTCAATTAAAGGAAATCACAGAAAACTCTTACAGATGTAAGGAGTAAGCTCAGCAGTGTGCTTAACGTAATTAGAAAGAGAGAAGAAGAAAAGTGAGACACAAGCAAGAGCAAGCCAGATCCATAAGTGGAATTAGTGTGAGAGACACACTGCACTCCTCAGTGCCAGTTGACCACACCAAACCCTGGAAGAACCTGGTGAGATTATTTAGTGATGACTCTCTAGCTGTATTTATGAAGTCCTCTGGAGTCCTCTCGTGAGATGCACTGGTTATGTTCATATTTTTAAGCCATCCTGCTGTCCATACAGACATTTTTTTCTTATTACTCTAAAGCGATAGGTATTTTCGATATTTAGCAGAAATAAATTGATCACACTTATCAAATATGTGCACAGCTCCAAAAGCAGGGTCTGAACTATAGGGCTTAGGCCAGCGATTCTTGGTACACCTGTTGTGTTACCAAAGAAAAGTGTTGCGTTCTTCTCAGACCCAAATGAGCAATTGATTTACGTCTTGTTCTAACCATGTCTGTGTTTCTAAGTTTATTCTGTTCAGGCTCATGGTTGTTGAAGACAATATGCAACAGGAGTATTTGTGTAGGCATAGTAACAGCATTATCGTTGCATGAAGTTTGTCTTAAAGCACTGCTGTTCAGTCCTTTCCCTACAGAAGGTCTATAGAATGCATAGCCAGCAACAGTATGAAGTACATTAGCCTCTCACTTGAATAATAGTCTAGCATTACCTATTTCATGGATACTGTGGTTTATTGGTGGCAACACTATACTGTACTTCTGAAAAAGCAACACTAGGGGACATTGTTAGTCTTCACATATTTTTTTTTCTAGCTGAAAGCAAGGTTTCACTCTGAGAGCTGGAGAGCTTTAAACGAACAAATTGTGGAGTATATTTGGGAATCAAATTCCCTCTCTATGCATGGTTTTGTATGCTTTCATGCTTCCTTTTTTGAATTTTTTAATTATATATATATTCTTAGGAAATAGAGCAGCAATCCCAAGGAATGTATACATTAAAACCAACACAGTGGTCTAACAACCTGCTTGTTAGCCCTACATGTTTTTTTATATTTCTTAGTTGGTTCATAGTTATTGTTCCACTATCTAATCTAGCAAGGATTTATTTTCTGTTTTAGTATTTTTCACTGAAGATAGATATTAGGAATTACTACCAAGTTGTGTCTAGCATGTAGAATGCTGCTCAGGCAGCGCTTCAGGAAAGACTTTTATCTTTTGTTTCTTTTACAATCCAGTGAGTACAAACTTGCCAGAAAGTCATTTACTATATGCAAAGGGACCTATCCTTTAATATTTCTAATATTCTAACAAAAAAAAAAAGTAGCAGTTCAGAAGTCTAATATAGCATTACCTCAAATGTTTTACTACCAATACATAGATAATTTACTATAATTTATCTAGATACACAGAGACTTAATTTCACAAAAGTCTAAGGCTGTATTGCGTGGTTCCAGGGTTGTGTTCCACTTCAAAATTACTAAATTCAAAGATCAAAAATAACAATTTCATAATGAAAAAAGTCTTTGAACAATTTCTTTTCTTAAAAGCAGTATTTTAGATGGGATAGATATCTCTGGCATAGTATTTTAGAGCAAATAAATTGCTGTTCAGATTTATAGAATTACTTGTTTTCTTTATAGAAAATGCATTAAAACACTTTCATAACTCCAAGCAATTTGAATTTCACTAGTTACTCGGTAAGGACAATAAATAAGGCACACAGATTTTGTCAGCTTCCGAATCTTGCTTGCATTTACCATATGGATCTCTCTGAAGGGCATGGCAAGATTTATAGTCTTTTATATTCATCTTATTCATTAGCCAGAAATCTATAATTGAGACATTATCATTCATTACTGTAAGCCACATATCAAAAGAGATTGACAGTGAGTTTTTCTCACTTTTTTTTTTTTTTCTGACTAAAAACTGGAAAACACTTCTGGTTATTTACATCTTGATAAATTCAGGAAGAGTGCTTAAAGGTTGAGAAAAGTACTGTTGAGCAGGTTGAAGCTTTTATTTCCCTTACCTGCTGAAGATGTGTATCTGTGTTATCCAAGAACAGCAAGTTTATTTTTGCTTGCACTAACTTCCAAATAAATACTTTAAAGTAAGTCCTTAAGAAACTTTTTTTTTTTTTTTTTTTAACTTTTAAGTTTTATGGACACTGAGATTGCCTCAAGTGAGAATATTGCAGCCGTGTTATTCAACTGCTTGTCCTCATATGGATTTGCTCATCATAAACGTTTAAGTCATTGCTACATTTATTCACTCTAGTTTAGATCAAATGTAAGATGCTGATTTATTTTGCATTCTGAAGTGACTTGAATCTGATTTGTAAAGATCAAAAGTTTATTTTAATAACTTTATATCCTTGCAAGGTTATAAAATAGCATAATTAAGATTATTGCATATTTGCATACATAAAAGGTTTTTTTTTTTTTTAAAAGGCAAATTCTTACTTTTTCTTCCATCTGCCTTTTCTTAATATGTTTTTTGTTAATTAATTACCCTTATGTCACTAGAGGTTATTTAACTATAATATATTTCACTATATTTACGAAGTAAATAGGCAATATACATTTGGCAGCAACCTTACATTCAAGAATAGATATCCTGTTTTTGAATGCCCCGAGTTAAGTCTGTCATTTTACAGTCTGGTGCCATAACTGGAGGCTAATTCCAAAGAAGCTAAATACATTAATGACATCTCAGGGTACTGAAGCTTATTTTAATCCTATTTCCTTATGGATAAGTAAGCACAACCCCCACTTTTCTCAGAGTATCTTCTGTCTATGTGAGTGTTGTGAAATGAAACCTGAATTTGATCACGCGGTTGTGGCAAAGTATTTAAGTTTAAATTTAAAGTAAAAACAGGGGTTTTATATGAGCTTGCAGTTGTTTGTTATTAATTTTTTCCTTTGATTTTCAGCAATGCCTTAATATTTTTCCCCACTACATTCACTTATTTCTCCTGCTTGATTGTATTGAGACATTCTGATGGTGCTTTTTTCTAGCCTGCATTCTTCTGTTTTCCTTCAAGCTCAGGTACAAATGGGACCCACAGTATCTGTTCCTTCAACCATCATTTGCAATACTATCATTTTTCAAAGTTGTGGGTTTCTTCTCCATTTCTTATTTCCTCGCTGGCCAAACATGTTTAGCTGCATAGATTATTTCCTATCTGATTAACTATAGAGAGAGAAGAAAATATTCAAATTTTAGATGTAAGTTCAGGAATTAATCTGGGGATTATTGGGAGTTTGATTTTGTTTTCTTGCTTGTGTTTGGGAAAAATTAAGTTAGGAAAAAATAGCATTTCGTTCTTCTGTGTAAACACCCAAAGCTTGCAGAAAGTTTCTTTGGACACTAGATGACAGCGAAAGATTGCAACAAAACTCTTTTTAAAGTAGAACATTGCAGGAAATATACTCAGTAAGACTGTGTTATCACTGTTGATAAGCCACTGATAATATTTATGAGTTAGATACTTTGCAGTACAGATGTTTCTATTACAGAACCTACAGAAGCTTAGCCTTCACCTGTCACATATGGTGTAATGTTATCCTGAGTCTGAATTCTACACTGACAGTAGAGTTTTTGCTTAAACTCTGGGGTATTTATGAAAGACACAGCTTTTGAGTAGAGTGAGCCTATGCTAGTAAGAGATCTGCTTTTAAGTTCTTGTCTTGTAGTTTTTCATCAATGTTCCATTGTGTATGTAAGGAAAGAAAACTTAATATTTGCCTTAATGACAGTCTCACCATAAAAGACTTGGAAAGCTAGATTAAAATAGGTACTTCATTTATGAATTAACATACAGCAAATCTCTGTAGTCTCTCTCTTAAGATATTTCCATTGGCAAATTCCTGTTACCAGCAGTAAAGCAAGTGATAATAGGTGAGTAAAAGTAGATTCCTGTGAGCCTCTGCGGAGGAGCAAAATAAAACCAGTCAGTAGTTAAAAAAAAGCAGCCAACAAAGTGGCAAAACATTCATGTGTCAAAGGGAAGAAAAGAAATAAACTGTTCACAAAAAAAAAAAATTGTGAAGTTACATAAGTGCATAGAAATGGACTCCAGAACACTGCATTTTTGATGGCTGGAATAGCCTACCAGTCCTAGTATAGAAATCTTGATGCCTTCTGTCAACTGGAGAAAATACGTTTTCAGAAGCATATGTTTCATTAACAATCTTTGTTGCAAACATACAATTGACACCAAAAAACAAAATGTACTTCAGAAGTTTGATGGCAGAGAATTGGCCAGGTCCAATGTCAGAACACTTGCTCTGAAATTCAGGCAGATGATGGATTTAGCCTGCAAAGGAGAAACTGGAGGTATGATTTCTGGTCTTATCAAAAAGTGATAGTCTTACATCCAAAACATACCACAACAATATTGAAATTTTAATAGAAAATACTGCAAATTTACAAGGGTTCCTTAAAATTTATCTGTTTGTTTAATTATTTTTAAAAGCTTCATTTTTTGGTGATGTCTCATACTTGTTTACTTTTCCTTAACAGAACTAATCACCAATTACAACTTCCAACAGTTACAAAAATGGGTGTGGTGGGTGCTCTTTATTCATTTTCACCAGATAGAGAAATCTATCAGGAAAGGAAGTACCCTTGGAGCACGTACAGCTCACAGAGCCTGAAAAGTCAAAAAAGACCAAAGCATTCTTGCATATTCACAGTACAGACACAATTTTTTGTAGTGCAAAAACAAAACTGAAAGCACATTCCATATGGGGGGAAAAAAAAAAAAAAAAAAGAGGAAAAACAAGTTTCTATAGACTTCTCGAGTCCTTCATTAGACAGAAAAGGGACAAGTTTGTCAAAATGTAGAAGCGTATTTCCTGTGTATTATTTGAATTCTGTAACAAAATTCTGCCTTTCCTAGAAGGAAATGAGTAAAAAGGTTATCCTGGTATCTTCAGATTCAGAAATAGAATTTGGATACCACATTTTAGCATGAGGTATATTCATAAAGCCTGTTTTAGTAGATATAGTAAAAGAATTCGAACCAAAAATGATCTCAAGTATTCAGGAGGAAATAAGATGGGCTATTTTACAAAAATACAAATAGTTCTTGAGAACTTGTTGGAATCATGAAAATTCTTTATTTTCAACCTGCCCATCCTGGTAGACATTCTACCTGGGTGAATGAACACATGGCTTTTTCATTAGCAGTTAGTCTTATGAAATAGTTCCCTCTAAACCTTTCATACCAATGAAAAACTGAAAACATTAACAATTACATGGAATGTCAAACTGAAATTGAAATCAAGTTTACCAAGAAAAGGTGGCAAGGGGATGTGAGGAGCACCAACCCCACAGTGTGGGGTCTGTGAGCCTAGGTGTTAGACCAAGCAGAACCCACTTCTGTTGTTTGACATCGGGCACCATCACGTTCAAGGGGGCATCCTAAAAAGGACACACACCAGGTTTCAGCACATCAAAATATGACATCTGCTTTATCTGTCAGCACAGCTTTTCTGAAGGGCTACTTCACTTTCTGCATATTACACTTTCATAATAGCAGGGGTAATCCTTGGAGACTCTATAGAAGATAAAGGGCTCTCATGAAATGATTAAAACTTTCACTTAACACCAAAGGCTTCAAAGATGTCTGCCTACATGGTTCAGGGATTTCTACTAACACTTCACTGAAAATGGGGAAGAAAAATAAAAGATCTTTTTGCTGTCATTTTCTACTGCTTGTTCTTGAATCCCTTCCACTGTTGTTAGTTTCTTTTTTCCCCCTGATGGACAGCCCAGACACAATCCAGCAAAATGAATATCACCAGCATCTCTGTGGGTCATTACCTTGACGAGCTAATGCCCGAAGACTACAAAGCACAAGTTGCTTGCTGCTTAGATTCAACACTTAACTTTGGCAAGTAAATACAACTGAAATGCCTAGCTTTTTTTTATTTATTTATTTTTTGCCAACAATGTTGTTTTTAAGAAATAAGTGGAGGACATTCAAAGAAACATTTCACACATCTAAGTGCAGAAGGAAAATAGTGCTGTGAATTCGATCTCAGAGAAGCAGGTAAATGTTTAGATCAAGAATAAGATCGGATTTCTGCTTGACATTGCTTTTTTTTTTGGCTTGTTTAGCCATCCCTTCAGCTCAGTACATTGCCCGTGGGGACTTTCTTGATTAGTAATCTCTTCCCAGTACACTGTCTAGAGAATTTATATCCTCTTTTTAGTTAGGCAAATTCTGCTGTAAATGCTACTTAAGTAATTCCTACAGAAAAATACTGATGTTTGTTTCTGGGCTTGAGTTTTAAGTGTAATTCCTATCACCTTGGTGTTATGATTCTGCAACTGGAAGAGGAAAAAGGAAATTCCTTAACTGTATGTTCACTGCGGCAAACATTTGTTCTTCTGCTGATAACAGCAGAATTAAGGTAGATTTTCTTATTAACACAATGCTCAGTTTGCATTCAGTATGAATTCATGTAGTGGCAAGGGACAGAACGTATTAAAAGCATCCTTAATACGTTTGTTCTTCACAGCAGTGATAAACTACTTTGTTCCTCATCAAACTGTTGTGCCTTGTGGTCTTCATATGAGTGCAGAAGTGATGAAGTCTGCTTTGCCAGAATTTGTCATACTTGTATTCTACTCTATACAAAATACCAACTCAGAATACCGGGCAAGATTAATTCAAGTTTGTTTCACATGTTTGAAGCTGTTTAGAGTGACTTCATCTGCCATTCTTGGTCTTTTATTTTCTCTACCAGAAGTAATGGATGAGTCTTTGTAAGGTCAGTACGAAGAGTATCAGCAGAGACTTGATTTCTCTCCTTGTCCCAGGATATTAGTCACTACCCCAATTAGCAGTACTACTACTGTGATACAGCATAATGAAATTTATGAGCCAATAATTACTAGAAATCAAACTCTGGTTTTATGTATTAAGAAAATCTGAGACCATGCAAAAATTGTTCTATATCATATTAAAGATGCGATTATTCTATTTGAAGGATGGACTACAGCCAATGCAAATCAATGTAACTACCTTAAATTTCTTAAATGATTCTCAATAAAGAACATATGAATGATTGGAGTAATTTACTGATGACAGAATAGCAGTATCAGTTGTCTTTATAGTACAAAGAGCTGTTTGTGTCTGACAACACATTCCTACCATAGTATGACAACAAAAGCTGATTCCTTTCAGTTAAATGAACTGAGGATCAATTCTGAGATAACATTCCTGCACTCCTCTCTTTTCTCTGTCTTATTAAAATTTTCAGAAGCTGGAAGGTTCACAAGATATGGAAATGCACAAGCAGCCCATTTCAAACATTTGGTGTGCATTTCCCATGCACAAAACTGCTTAAGTCTGAGATAGACCAGCTACAAGCATAGTATGTAGGTTAGTAGTAAGGCACGCCTAAAGGAATGATACAGATGCTCAGGCAAGTATCACTCAAACTGAACAAGTATCACTTCTGTGATTGATATATTTAACTGATAAATCAACACTGCCAAAACATGTCACTTGTCAATGATTGGCAACAAGTAGTTAAGTCATACCTTAGCTGAAAGCAGCATTGAATCCATTTTCGGTAGTTCTAAGCAGCTCTAATTGCTTTCATTGACCTTATCAGTTTGACTGTGTGTAGCCATTTATTACTCTCCTGGGATAAAGCAGAAATTGTCTCTGCTTAAATTGATCATAGAATTACAGAATAACATAGATTAGAGGGGACATCAGGAGACCAAAAAGTGTGACCCCTAGCCTACCTCTTACAGGATCCATTTTAGTGTTATACAACATTGCTCAAGGCCTTGTCCTATCAACGTCTGAAGCCTTCAAGAATGGATTTCAAAATATCTTCAGTCAGTATGCCTCAGAGCTTAGCCATTCTAGTTTTTATATTTATTTTAAACAGCCAAAATTTCCCCTGCTGTAGCTTGTTCTTTTTGTTTCTCATTGTATAGACCTTGCAGAGAAGCTTGAGTAAGTCTTTTATAGCCTACTTTTACACATGAAAGGGGTCTACAGAGCTTTTTTCCTTCACTATTAGTCTCCTCTTCTCCATGCTGAGCTAAGTCACCTTCTCTAGTCTCTCCTCATATTTTATACTACAGCCCCCTAACCACCTCAGAGCCTTTCTACTGAATGTCCTCCAGTTTCTTGATCTTTCTTTCACACTGGAAAGTAAGAGGGCCCAGAAGGGGACACGATAGGTCAAACTCACTCTGAAATGCTTACTAGAAGGGAATCATCACTTCTCTTGATCTTTCAATAGACTCTTGCTGATGCACTTATGTCAGTAACGCAAGGGCACTGTAACCTCACCTAACTTGTTCTCAGCCAGAATCACAGGGTAGTTTCTCTAGTGCTGCTGCAGTCAGCCAGAGCCCAGCTTTTACTGCCACATGTGATTATTTCATCCCACAAGTTCAAACTCTCTTTTCACATTACTGACCTTCCCAAGACTTCTCCTAGCCTGTCCCTTAAGACTGACAGAGTTCCTCTGGCTGGCAGATGCTTCTGCCAGTGTATTGCCTGCTCCCTCCAATTTGGTATTGCCTGCAAGCTCACTCTATATATCCCATCATTCAGGTCATAAATGGAGATCCACTTTGTCTACTCCAAAATTCTGGGGGAAGGAATTTGTCACAAGCCACAACTGGGCTGCAAGCCAAAAACTATATTTTGAGCCTTCTAATCCAGTTAATTTTTCATCAGTCTTAACATACGCCTATCTACACACTCTCCCTCCAGCTCATCTATAAAGTTACCATAGCAGAGGACCAATCATATACAGAAAAATAAAGAGTAATACTCACCCACCTGGTGAAGGATGCTCTCTGGCCCTACAGCATCTCCTCTCAGGGAGCAGCCTGGGCTCAAAAAATACTCTCTCCTCAGTGGCTGGCCCTTATGTGAGCCCAGTGTGGCTCCACCCTGTGTCCACCCCTTCTGGTCACCTGGGGAGCACAGGTACAAACAATTTGCCTGTGCTTCTGGGCCATCCACACCCCTTCACCAGTTGCTCAATCACCAGTTCAAGCTATGACCTAACAGTTCCCTACACCAGTGTACCCTCTGCAGCTGTCCACACTGAAGGCTAGAAAAATAGTGATCTTCCTGCTTCCTAAAAATTGAATTTCCAGGTTACTTTTAAAACCACATAACTACTTTGCTCATTCTGTAGGATTTGCTGTCTGAAATTAAATATTCTTTCAGTACTGTGTAACCTGTATAATAGTTCTTGATAAGAAGTAGAAAAAAATATGAAAATCTTCCGCAGCCCTCCAGTGTTCTCAAATGAAGGTTTTAATTGTTATGATTGTATTGGTGATGGCAGAATTTGTAACATTCTAAATTGAAATTTTACAGCAGAAAAACAGATGAAAGATCTTTTGGAATTGCATAAGATTGCTGAAGAGAGAACCGTATCTTGTCCATTTCTAATCGGAAATAATTTCTATAGCAGAAAAGTACTTCAGCATTTATTTGTGTAAGAGCTTCTACATTTTTTAATAAGAAATATGTTGTCATAACAATGAGCTAACTAGTGACACATTCATATGTTTTCTGGGTGTCTACTGATATGTCCGGTGAGCTTGTGGGGATTGTATATCTTCAAGTTAGTAGAAGCAGAAAGGAAAACTAGCTTAGCTTCTTTTTCCATCTTTTACTTGGTGCCAGGATCTTGCTGGTGGTTTGAAATATGCAGTCTTAGAGACATTTCAATAATTGTATCAAACAGTAGGAAAAACAAAACCTACAGACAAGCTGCCAAAACTAAGCAAAGGAAAAATATTGTATCAAGCAACAGAAAACTAGGGCATTAAAAACATCTCATGGGGTTATTATTTGTTTCTGTAAATTTAGGGTGGAACAATATATATTCAACCATAATATTTGCCCAAAAACCTGCTTTGTAGAGAAACCAATGTCAACAATATTAACATCTGTTTTACTAAAGATATGGAAAGCAAACTATTGAGATGTCTTTTTTTCTCTTTTTCCTTTTTTTTTTTTTTTTTTTTTTCCAGAAAAGAAGGTTGTGTATGAGAAGTGTGGGTAGAAGTAGAGTAAGGGAACAGATACCTGGGAAATTTTTGATAATTATGTGGAACATTTTATGTGATTTCCAAACGCTTAGATGAGGGGATCGTTTATGCTGGTTGCTTCTACTGGGATAAGAAATGATGAAGCAATTTGCACTTGTAACTTTCACAATAACATCTTATTAAATAGCTCACAGCCCTCAAGGACAGTTTCAGAAAGGTTAAGCAGCCTCACAAGCACTTGTACCCAGATCATCATGACAGGAAAAAAAAAAAGGTCATATGTTTAGATTTACATTGCTTTGAAAAGCCATATCAGCTACTGCTCCAGTATCACTGCTTCAGCTTCACAACTACAATGGATTGTGGAATGGTGTGTTAAACAGGGAAAAGAGACGGGTTAAAAATAGCTCTTTTTCCACGAGAGGTTTAATTATCAGCCATTAACTTCCTCTTCCAGTTCGCCATATATAAATAAGACAGTAGGACAGGAGCAAGGATCATGTTGGGAAGCAGCTCACTCTAGCCTTGTCATTGAAAGAAACAAGCAAATTGCTGTACTTAGAAGTCAGAGCACAATTTGGCATCTGAAGTTTCGAGGAATGGGAAATCCTAGATGGAAGAACAGAGTCGGTTCTGGTACCTTATTTTCAATCTGCTGATTTTCACCTCGTTTTTTTCACCGCTTGAGATTCAGCTATGTAATTTGATCAATTCACTCTCTCAGAATGTGATGAGGGAAATCCATGGGTGACTGAAGAAATGGAAGTTCAATTTCACTGAAATATTAACTATATTAACTACCTTTATTTTCATTCCACATCATATCCTGTAGCTCAACTAGAGGGAAAGACTATGGCACTGAGGAGCCAGCTGTGTTGGATACTTGGCTAGATGAATCTAATCGACCTTGTGGGAGACAGTGTAAGTGAACTACCAAAGCTGACTTAGTCAAATTGATTAATATTGATATAGCCTTAATTTGAAGCGCATTTTGAGTAAATATATTGCAACATCTATGTAATTTTTTTTTCAGAGGAATTCCACTAAAATGCTTCTTTTTCCATGAAACTGTTTACAATTAAACTCTGCTCCTGCATTTTAAGAGAATAACTTATCAGAGATCTTAGAGCAGAGGGAAGAAATTATCTCTCTTCTTGCTAGAAAAACACAATTGAAACATAGCATTGTATTAGATCCCAAATCATTGAACATTTTCAGCGTTTGCCCTATTAGCAACTGGCAAAGAGCAAAGAAAAGACCCAAGATCACTGGGAACAAAACGTACTCTTTATTTTGGCATCTAACAATCCCATCCAAGCCAACTGGGCTCCCAGACAGACTAACAGCTGTTATTATTTACTTGGGAAGCCAAAACTGGTGTTTGGAGAATGATGTTAGAAAATGAAAAATTAATCAGCATTCATTAATTTTCTGTGTAGCTCTGTTACTGGAAACTGTGTGATATTGTATCACGAACGCCTACACTACAAATCTTGTTTTGCATACAGTGTTTTGCATTGTTCTCTTATGTAACATGTTCTAGTAAACATTGAGTTAATCCTCAGCTCTTATCACAGAAGAGTAGTGATAAATGAAAGGACTAAAACTATTCAGCACATTTCCCTCCCCAACTCGCATGCATTAAGTAGTAGTATATTTAATATCTGATATTTCTACAGACTTGAATACAAATCCTGCAACTGTGCGTAAGTACAAAGGCAGAGGTGAGCATGTGTCTCATAGAGAATATCTCACAATACTTAAGGTAGATGCCTAAAAATCATACTGTGGTGACTATGTATCTTTTATTGTTTACAGTATCTTCTTGTCTTCTGGCATTATGTCTGTATCAGGCACAAAGCATTTCTTATTCTGTAAGAAAAAGTATTATGCTTATCTTTGTATAGAAAGAAAGGAAACATATGGTATAGTATTCATTATATTAGAGAAATTGAGATCAAATAAATTTACCTTGCAGTGGAAAAGTGATTAGATCTGTGATAGTAACCAGTTCTGACTAGTTTTCTTTCAGAATATTTCTTGAAAATTAATCAAAATGTAACCTAAGCTTGCCATGGTTAGCAGCTACTTCCCCTCTCCCCACAGAGGGTCAGAAGAGAGAGAATAGGAAGAACAATTACCAAAACTCATGTGTCAAGACAAAGACCATTTAATAAGTGACAGAGAGGGCAAAAAAACAAATGATGCAAAGGTGAACACACAGCAGCTCCCACAGGCAGATCAGGGGCCAGCCAGCAAGCAAGTCACCTTAGATACCCCAAGTTGACCCCCTCTTTTTCTTCTAATGCAGTTTTTATTGCTGAGCATCATGTTGTTTGGCATCAAAACTGATCCCTTTGTCCGTTTTGTTTATCTGGCTGTGTGTACTGCTCTAGCCCAGTCAGACCCAGCACAGGCACTTCAGTGTGTGTGTGATGACAACAGTCCTTGATAACTCCATTTTGACATATTGATGAAGGCAAGAAGCAGCTGTTCCAAACAGCACCACAATGAGGAATCCTATAGTTCTGAACTAAGGACTGCATACCCTGTTCACTTATATTGTGAAGTTTGCTGTCATTAGCTGTGCAGCATAAAAGTCTGCTACAAGGTCAGGGGAGACTTCTGCTCTTACAGTGTCTGATTCATCAGCTCTGAAGGAGTTTTTGTTGTTGTTGTTTTTAAGGATTATTTGCCACCTGTAACAATGAGTGGTCGCTACCATGAATAAGATCAGGGCTGAGCACTCAGAACCACACAAGGAACAAGCAGAGGGCTCCTGGCCCATGATGCTGCTGATGTATGTAGAAAGACAGGTCAAGGAAAGACACTATTAGTAGCAGAATAAATCTTGTTAATTTTTGCTCGTAGAACGTAATATCACCCAAGAGAAATACTTTCGTACAGAAAACGTTACTGAAAATACAACAAACAATGCTTTTAACACTGAATGAAGACAGTAGTGAAAATGAAATGTGGTGAAAAGCAGATCAAAATAAAAGCATTTTAGGCTAGTGTTTTATTTTCATCCGATGCAAATCTTTTCATTGAAAGCATGCAGTAGAGAATATAGAATCTCATTTTACCTGGGAATTTTTTCTAACGTTTTAATTACTGAAAATCTCCATTGTTAAAAGCTTTTGTTAAAAGCAGGGAAAACATAATTAAGCATAAAAAGTAGGATTTTAAGAATAAATAATAATAAAAAACTCAGACTAGCTCTCAATTAGGAAAGAGTTGCAATAGGAAACATTCTCAGAGAGTTCTCAAGGAAGATCTGAGACAATCCAAAGGACTTCAGCAACTTTTATCTATCCTGATTTTATACTTAAGGCCAATTGTATAGATTCCTATTCCACTAAGTGGTGTTGAAGAGAACATGTGTTATCAAACCTGCATAAGTGATTGTTAAAGTCATCCTGGGAGAAAAGGTTTTCCTTAGATCCAATTGGCACTTCTCCTTTTTTGAATCATGCCTATGGCCTCTCATAGTGCCCTGTGCTCCTATGTGCTCCTGGCTCTCTCTTCTTCATAATAGTATCTATCTGAGGTATCATGCATGTGCATCAAAACTTGTTTTCTGCCTGGGGATCGTGTAAAAATATGCCTTTTCTCACAGTATTAATGTAATCAGTTTTCCAATTGGCTCCAATGTTTACGAAGATGACAAAAATATCAAAGAGTAAGTCTGACATCTTCAGAGAGCCAAAACATCAGAGTGCTAGATATTTAGTGCTATTTGGTTAATTTATTAAAACCTTAACCAAAGCCAATTTTATTTATAATAGGGAATGCTATTGTATCTTTTCTACTCATCACTGAAA